TCAGCTTTTATAATCTGTTCATAAACCAAATATGCCGGCAACTTTGAGATACCTAGATGTAACTAGTGTTGTTAGCAAGTTGGCTCATTCTGTTTGTTTAATGCTGTTGTCAAGGCAGTATAAAGCACAGAGAGAGCTGTAAGGGGCTCCAGGCAGTCTCATCTGCGTGCTCCTTAGTTTTCCATCAGCTAAAGATGGTTTGGGGCAGCGGCACCGCACGGGGAGGGCTCCCAGACCGCACGGGGAGGCCTTGGCTTGTGGTCCATCAGGTGGCCACCCGCTTTAAGCAGCCTTTCCTCCTCCGGTGTTGCCAAACGAGGCTGCACACCGCAGAGAATGGCACCTCCTGCGAAGAATTTAGGAAGTGGTTGTTCGTGGAATCGGAGTTCGGAATTGCCGTTTCTGACGGACACGCAGGCCAGTGTTAGAGGCAGGTTGGAGGAAACCTGTGCTTGCTTCAGAAGCCTCTTAAGCTAATACCAAGGTCTCTTTTGCATTTGGTTGTAAGCTAGGCCAAAATGACTATATATATACACACACACACATATATATACACTTATATGTATATATGTCAGCATTTTCTCCTTCCCGCCTTACCCCAAGCTATTGTTATTGAACTTCACCCTCAAACAAAACCACTTCTTTTTTGTCAGTTTTTGTATGCAAAAATAAGATAGGGCTTTCTGGGGTTTCTGCTTGGTGGGAACCTGGGGCAGAAAAGGGAAGAGTTTTATCTTCCACATGCACATTTGTCAAGTTTGTGTGAGATGAAGCTTAATGAGGTTAGAAATGCAGGAAGCATGCAGTTTTGCCTCAAGTTGCATCATGTGCACGTTTTTCCCATCTGCAGTAGGAGTTAAGCAATTCTTTCACCACATTGTCTTGCAAGTATTCCTGGCTAAGAAGAAAGTTTAATGAAATTCAGAATAACCTGAACATAAAAAAAAAAAAAAGAAATCCTTCTAAACCCAGTGAATGTTCATTGACCCTGGTAGTATCTCTTCGAGTTGTGAACCAACTGGCTTTACAGGTTTGAAAAACATCTAGAGATCATGCCCACCAAAAGAAAAAAGGCTTTTAAATGCATATTATTCTCATGATTGACAACCATCTCTTTCCTGTAAGCAAACAGTTTTATCTCCATTTCTAACCATGTATGCCAGCCCAATAAGAAGCAGAACAAAATGATATTGGTAGGCAATGCAGAACTTGAATAGAAGAAATGAAGATGAAAAGGTCAGTTAAAATCTTCCTGCTTTGATTAAATGTATTGTTAAGGTCACTTGAGATTTAGGAACTATTTGAATTTGGGAGGAAGGAGGCCCTTTAGTTTTGAATTGTTTTTTGAAGTGTGGATCACTGTTCTGAAATGGAGACAAGCAGGTTCTTATGTCTCTTAGGCTCTAATAAATAGTGTTTGGGAGACACAACCTGCCAGATGGTCAGAAACCTCTGCTGTCTCCAGCAACGTGGGAAAGTCTACTGGCCAGATTTTCTGGGAAGCTCTATGGGAACAGCTCCGTTATTATGGAACTGGATCTATTAGCAGCCCTTGGGAGAGCGTCTGGTGAGCACATACTAAAAAGGCGAGTCAGAAACCACAGCAGAGATGTTCTCATGTTCCTCCGGACTCGATCCGCCGGCCGCACCAGGGCGCCGAGGAGCTCAATGTCACTGGATGCAGTGGGACTGTTGTGCCCAAGGGGACGAGCACTGCTTGACGTCCCTCCCTGCTTTCCCTGGGTTGCCTCTCTTGTAAATAAGGACGCAAGCAGCAGGCAAAGACACCCCAAAATCCAGTAGTGCCCCGAATCTGGTAGCGGATAAGCGCACCGTACAGTAAGGGTTTCCACGCGGAGCTATTCCACGTTATTCCCGGCTGCAGCAGGTCCCCGCTCCCTGCGCACACGAGCAAAGTGCCTGCTGGAAGGTTTTCAAGGTTATATTTGAGAGCACAGCCGAATTGCAGTGCTTGCAATGCAGGAATAGCCTCTCACCCCACCTCCAAAAAAAGCAGAGGCAAGTTCATTACCACAGTACGCGGCACGGAGCCATTTGTGTGCCGCGAGCTCTGGCTTTTTGTGCTACGGGCTGGCAGCGCTCCACGATTTTGAGGGTCAGCTGGAGAAAATGCCCACGCGTCCTGGCTTGGCAAGCGCTTGGAGCGCTTCCATGTTGCCCAATAAGTCATGCTTTATTTCTGGAAGGGGAAGCGGGTTTTTCTTCCCGGTGGATTTTATCAATTGTTGTTTTCTCGCTAGTATCGCATGCTTGTCAGGCCGTATTTCTCAGAAGAGCTAATGAATTTAAGTCTGCTTTCCTGTTCTGGGTACCGAGGCACATGTCTAATTAAGCGTATACAAAACTCTCCACATAATCAAATATCCTCCCATTGAAGTAATAGTAGTTGGAGCCATATTTTTAGGAGCTGAATTATCTTTTCAAAGATAACAGATCTCTCTTGAAGATGAATGCAAGGAAAAGTCAGTATGAGCAAAACCGTGTACTGTTCTTTAAAAGCACCTGTGCAGCCCCTGGACTGAAAGCTGTTGATGGGGGAGGAAAGGTGGTCGTTCAGGGTAGGATTTTCACACTCTCAGAATGATGCTTTTTTCATTGAAAAAAGCAGGTGTGTTAACAAATCTGCTGTAACACCTACTGTGAGGAATTTTTTTGTGGTTTCCTGCAGATTTTAGTTTTGAAAACAGGATTTACAGTGCTGTGCTCCTTAGTCATTTATGTTACTATTCATTCAAGTGAAGCAGTGAGTGAGATATCATTCTTGAAGCAGTGCTGAAAATGGCTTTAGTGCAGGAGTTCATGGATAAAATAGATTTCAGCCCTTCTAAGTCCTGAGAAATCTCTACTGATGATGATAAAATGTGTGTGAGTGCATGTGTTATTTATGCCAGTAAAATCTCTTTCATCACTGCTGTAGGAGGAGACGCACTGGAGCGCTGGAGAACAGCTAATCCTTGTCCTGGTGTCATGGTCAGCGATCAACCTAAATGTCCAAAGCTTGAAGGAAGGAAAAGGAGACCTGTAATCAGACACATTTCATCTGTGCTTAGCTAAAAACACAGAAAAGCCACTTACATTTTGAGTTAATCCTTAGAAATATCAATGAGGTGTAGTCACTGCACTGTTAAAAACAGTAGAAAGCCTTGTTTGCAGTGCTGTGCAGAGAAGGACTAGATTAGTTTTTAGCCAAGTTATATCAAAACATTTATTCAGACTTCATAAAATAGTCCCCTGTTTAACTGCTGTCATTCCTGGGAGTAATGGAGTGGAACTATAGTTGTTTACAAATTCTTGTGCTATTAATTCTTCATAATTAAAGAAGGGAAGAATCAGCAGAGGCCCCAGTTTTCCTCTCATCCTTTCTAACTTGTCCCTGGTTTTCTATCTCAAAATGCTTCCAAGTTGGGATAAAAAAGAATATTAAAATGAGGTGCTGCTATTCTGTTACATGAATGGCTTTAGAGCTGATTTTTTGGTGGCGTTGAGGAATTTTAAAGAAATCATGTCTTTACTAATGTATATGGTTTCCTTCCTCTGTTTTGGGTGGCAAAACATTTCAGTATACCATTTGATAGCAAACTAGTTGGGGAGCTTGTAGTACGTGAACATAGAGAAGTTTTATGTCTAACTTGCCAGCGTGAGTGGTGCACTAAACACTTCCAATTTTAAAATAAATTGCTCCCATTAAGCTGGAGTCCCGATACAGCAAAGCAGTTACTTCTAGTATGGACTGTCTTTTCTTAAACGTATAAGAGACAGCAGCTAACTCAGAGAGTTGGGGAAGGTAGAGCCTCTTTAGCCTTTTGCCCCCTTTTTCGGGTGAAAAAAATAAAAACCTTCCTACAGAAGCTTCAGGAGAAAGACCTCATACCCTGAGTGATAAAAGACAAAATGCTGTTTAAGATGACAAGTTGTGGGGTGTTTTGGGGAGGGCTGGGTTTGTTCTTCCTTGAAAAGCCCCAGGGTGAGAGGGATGTGGTGTCTGCTGCAGGTTAAGCCCGTGTTGTTGGCTTGGCTTCAAAGCAGCAGCCTCCTGCTGCCGTTCTCTGGCCCTCGCGTGGAGCACGAGCTCATTTTCCAGGGCCAGTTCTCTATTTTTAAGCCAGTCATTTCAGTTCCAGCCGCTCTTGATGTGACTAAGCTCATGTACCGTCTGATCTAGAGGAGAGCAATGAGGCTGCTTGTGCCCGACTCCACTGACAAGTGCAGATTTCTCGGAATAGAGGAAAACTAACAGATCTCCTGTATGAAATGCCAAATCTCTGCATGCCTGGAAATTCAATGAGCAACACCCTGTGTTACCCCCGGGGAATCTGAAGCACACGGTGTGGGCGTGGGGACCCCCACAGTGCCATCATCCCTGCTAATACCAGGCTTTGAGAGCCAGGGTGTTGTTCCTGTGAACACTGCTTAGCTTTTGTAAGAGCACCAGCTTCAGTTCTGAGCAGCAGTTTTAAAAAGCACAGCTGGATTTTTGTCTGGGAAGGCAGTGAAGATAAGAAATAGGGGAACTTTAGGCTGAGCATCCTTGTATCTTCTGAGATTTGCACTGGTAGGGTACAGTAGCAAAAACATAATGCTAAGTAAATTAAAATTTGTTGTTAAGGATTGGTTGTGCCTGGTTTTGGTGGAAATGAAGCCAAGTTGTCTGCTTGAACGTGCAATGGGGAAATTTAACCACAGGTTTCTTCTCTTCACATGGCATCGGCGTATTTAGGGAACCGTTGCCAGTTAGGCAGTGAAAACTTAAGGCTTATCAACCTTGGAAAGACTTGTGGAGGAGTGGATTTCTGTAAAAAGGGGTTTTGGAAGGATCCTTTCTATCACAACATAGGAAGGAGGAGTAAAGAGTAACGAGCAGGGAGTATTGCCTAGGTGCAGTTAAACTCTAAAGATAGAATCTTTTGGTTGAGTGTTTCCATTGTTAAAAACACTTTTGAGCAATCTTTTTTTTCTCCTTTTCTTCTGTTTTTCCTCAGTCCATTGCTTCAGCAGACATGGATTTGAATCAGCTGGAGGCTTTTCTCACTGCCCAAACCAAAAAACAAGGTGGCATCACATCAGATCAAGCTGCAGTCATTGCAAAATTCTGGAAGAACCACCGAGCAAAGATCCGAGAGAGCCTGATAAATCAAAGCCAGTGGGATAATGTCTTAAAAAACATGAACTGGAGAATCGACTTGAAGGCGCAGTCAAGACACACCGATCAAATAAATACCCCTGTTGCAATAGTTGAGATGGAACTGAGCAAAAAAGGGCAGGTAAGGTTTGCTTGGTAAAATATGTAAAGCTCATTTGGCTGAGTATGTGCTGAAACATTTTAGCTGTTGCTGAATGCACTACATCCAAGTCAAGTCAGTGTATTTGTAATCTCCAGGCCCTTAATCTTCTTAAACTTGTGTCCATCGTTGCTCACAAAGAAACAGTGAATGCAACTTTTGATAATATGTCTTCACATATGGATTGAAAGCTCCCCTTACATTAAGCTTGGGAAATATGAGAGCACAGAAATCAAACATAGTCAGCCATTCCAGCAATTCTATTGAAATTATATTCTTATCCTGTGTATTGCAAAGTCAATTGGTGTTTTTCTTCGTATCCAAATACCAAAATTAGTTAATAACTGCAGAATAGAAACTGAAAAAAGAGTAAAGTTGAAAGACTATAAATGATTAACCATCCTTTTGCACTTTCTGGATAAATAAGGCAAGGGCGTGTCTTTATTTTTTTTATAACATCTATTATAAATGATTAACCATCCTTTTGCACTATAACATCTATTTTCAAGTTATCTACTCTTACTTGCCTGAAAATGATGTATAGCTCCATCACTGCTGAATACTGCATTTAAAAACAAAAACAGCAACAAAATCCCCCTCTGACTCTTGCAATTGCTAAAAATAACTAAGGGCATGGCATCCACTTTCATTTTTTCTTCCTTTGATGGAAAAAAAGAGTTTTCAGGTTTTTTTCTTTGCTCAGTAATCTGTTAGCAAATCTTAACTTTTAAGTACTAAAAAGCTACTTTTAATAGCTACTGTTAAGTAGCTATTGCTAATCAAATTATGAGCTAAGTTTGGGGGTTTTATAGTAATAGTTTACATTTCACAGAATGGTTGAGGTTAGAAGGGACCTCTCGAGATGATCTAGTCCACCTAGACATCTAAAGCACGTTGTGCAGAATCGCATCCAGGTGGATTTTGAACATCTCTGGAGAAGGAGACTTCGCGGCCTCTCTAGGCAGCCTGTTCCAGGGCCCTGTCACGCGTTCAGTTGAGGTTTCCTCATGCTCAGGTGGAGCAGTTTGTTTCAGTTTGTGGCCGTTGCCTCTTGTCCTGTTGCTGGCCACTACTGGAAAAAGTCTGACCCTGTCCTCTTGAGACCCTGATAAGATCTCCCTCAGCCTTCTCCTCTCCAGGCTGAACAGGCCCGCATGCTCAGCCTCTCCTCACAGGAGCAATTCTCTAGCCCCCTCACCGTCTTTGTAGCCCTACACTCGACTTTCTTCAGTAGCTCCATGTTCCTCCTGTACTGGGGAGCCCAGCACGGACAGGGGATTCCAGACATGGCCTCACCAGTGCTACTTGTGGCACTTGAGGTTGCCTTGGCCTGCTGGCAACGCTCCTCCTGTTGCACCCCAGTGTCCCATTGGCCTCTTTGGCCACAAGGGTACGTTGGTGCCTCATGGTCAGCTTGTTGTCCACCAGGACACGCAAGTCCTCCTCCTCAGAGCTGCTGTTCAGCTACTGGTGTCTGGGGTTATTCCTCCCCAGGTGCAGGACTCTGCACTTGTCTGTGTTGAACTTCATGAAGTTCCTCTCCAGCCACTTCTCCAGCCTGTCCAGCTCCTTCTGAATGGCAGCACAGCCCCCAGCTGTTCCTCTCAGTTCTGTATCATCAGCCAGCAGGCTGAGGAAGATCGCTGATGAAGTTGAACATGACAGGGCCCAGTGCTGACCCTTGGGGACACCACCAGCTACAGGGTTCCAGCCAGACTCTGCCACTGATTACAACCCTCTGGGCTCTGCCATTCAGCCAGTTCTCAATCCACCTCACTGTCCGCTTGAGGTGGTGTTGAAAGACTTGCAGAAGTCAAGGTAGACAACATCCCCTGCTCTCACCTCATCTACCCAGCCAATCATTCCATCATAGAAGGCATAAGCTTGGTTCAGCATGATTTACCCTTGCTGAATCCAGGCTGACTACTCCTGAGCACCTTCTTGTTTTCCACGTCCTTAGGGATAGCATCTGGGATGAGTTGTTCCATCATTTTTTCCGAGGATGGAGGTGAGGCTGACTACCCTGTAGTTTCCTGGGTTGTCCTCCTTGTCCTCATTGAAGACTGGAGTGACACTGACTTTCTTCCAATCTTCAGGCAGTTCTTTTCTCCATTCCCTTTCACAGATGATGAAGAGTTGCCTAGCAGTAACACCTAGCAGCTCCCTCAGCTCCTGTGGGTGCATCCCATTGAGGCCCATGGGTTTCTGGTTTTGCCTAAATGATCTTTAGGCAGATCCTCCTCGATCAAGACTTCCTTTTCCCAGACTTCCTCTCTTGTCTCCAGGCTCTGGGGTTCCAGAGTGCTGGAATATAGCAAAGGAACTGTGTGGTTATTCCAAGGCCATCATGAAAGTACCAGTCAGTTGGGGTCCTGCTGTGACAGTACATTTTGGCATAGTTGCTCTGTAAGTCCAGTTTTTCTCTTGGTCCTTGAAAGCTTCTCCTTCCAAGAAGGTGACTTTCCACCTTCTACCAGTGAATCTCTACAGTGACCAAGGTAAGAACGGGGTATGTTCTTTTTCTCCTCCTAGTCTTCAAATGTGGAGTTTTCTGCCAAGTATCTTGAGAATAGTAACAAATAGGGAGAAAATTAAGTTTATAGCGAGTACATTAAAATCAGTGCATTAGTGAGGAAATGAAAAAAGCCCGTGTTTCTTTGTAAAAAAGAAATCCCAGAACCATTTGTTGTTTTTCAGAAGGAAGCCAGTGACTCTTATTTTGATTTTTTGTCATCGTCTTCCAGTAATGGATTGCTACAGCAACATGAATCAGTACCCTTTATAATTCTTTGTACAGACTGAGAAAGAAAATGTGAGCATGAAAGAAGAACAGAGATTTCTGAGGCATTTTAATTTCTCTTAACAAAGAACTCCAGATAAAAACAGATTGATTTTTAGCTATGCAGTTTCATTTCTCAAATATAACAAAGAAAATGGTTGTATAAACAAATTTGAACTACCATTAGACATAACTTCTGCTTTCCCTTGCTGGGGGCAGTGCAGTGAGCTGCAGTCTGGCATTCAGTACAGGTAAGGCTGGTAACCAGAGAGATATTTACAGCATAGCAAGGATGGACCTTGAATTCAGTCAAAATATGTATTTGTTTGAAGGAGCTGTTGTTCCATATGATCCTTAGCTTAGAGAAGAGCTTTTAGTGGAGCCTGCGCACGTGTCACGGGCTGAGGCACCAAAATGTAGCGAGTGGCTGGAATCCTTCTGGGCTACCAGGATTCATCTGGCCCTTGAGATGTTCCCATGTAGCAGGGGGCTTTCTGGGAAGACAGGAGCAGAGGCCACCAATTCAACCAGGGCTGAATGAATTGTTCTCTGGATTCAGCCCTCAAGCCTGAAACTCTTCATCTTGTTTTATAGCCTTCATGCATTTTATCACTATTGCTATCATGGTTATAGCTTTTCTGAATGTCAAATTATAGTAGCGTATCAAAAACACATATGCTTGTACCTTTCTGAAACTTAACAGAGAGAATGTTTTCTAAAAAGTAAAAAATGGCAGTCGTGGATAGGATTTGACAAACAGTGTAGGTCTCCTCCAGGGTTTGCAGGAAAGAGCTCGCTGATGATTCAGGAGTGAATTATTCAAACCCACTGTTTTCATTTGGGCAGTTGTTGACATGGGAGTATACAAGTGCACCGATGTGTAATGAATTGACATTAATATTTCATCTGTTTCGACAGAAGCAGGAGAAGCTCTACAGAAAGTGTCTATTTGCTGGTATTTAAAGTCACTCTCATTCTTCACAGCATCTCTCTCTGGAGTGGGTATAGAAAGTGGCCTTTCATTCTGTTTTTGATAAATAACCTTCATTGCTTACTGTATTTGCTGTCTTTAATATTCAATCAGTCAGTTGCCTTAAAGCAAAAGAAATATATGTGCAAGACCCGATATGGCTAGAAATTGCAGTGTTTATGTGACTATCATGAGTTTAGGTGGGCCAAGCTTACCGGACACATGTCAAATCTTCTTGATGTTTTCTGATGGAGCACAGGTGCTTCTGGTTTTGAGAAACTTCCTTGCAATTTGTATGAATTCTTACTATCCTCAGCATTACTGTTAATAGAAGAAAAGTGAATCCCTTCCTCTAAGCACCCTTAAAAACATTTTTGGTGAGAAATGTTCACAAACACTAGTGCTCCAAACTCTGGGGAGTTTGCTTCAGGCCCCATAACTTGCAGTTTGACCCTTTCTTCCATGGTGAAGATTTTATAAAGCAATTTCAAGTTCTCTGCTGATGATGGAGCCTTTATACATCCTGGCTGAAGGCAGGTGAACACACTGGCCATAAAGTACTCTGCTTTGCTTTCCTTTAGTCATCTGACTAAAAAATATCCTGCAACCACTGCACTTGAACCTGCATCTTCCTTCATCGGTTAACCATTTTCAGTGCTCATCACTGCCTGCCCATTCTTTCCTCTTGTGCAGCCTGTCCCTTTTTTGCATGATGCTCTTCCTCCTCTGTACCTGGGCCTTGCTGAGCTTCCCTTAAGATGTCTAGAGCTGCCAGCCTCTCCTCTACATCCCTTCAGTTCTGTTTGCCCTCCCTGGGCGTTTCTGTAAAGCTTTTTGGCATGAAATTTCAGCTGGGTGCAAATCTGTTGGCAGGGAGCCGAGGAGCTGCCCTTCTTGCCCTGCCAGGGTAACGTTGCTCCACGTTGAGAAACGGTCAGTCTGTTCAAGACCCACAGTCTTCATTTTTAACCTGTTCCCAATGCCACCTTACCAATTACAGATTCATAGCTGTCCGTGTTGATAATAGGAAATAAATGCAACAGTTTAGCACTGTCGCTTATTATCAAGATAAACTTGTTTTATGGTGGTTGCCTTGTTGTTTCCTTATGAGATGTTCCCCCCCTCAGGGCTTCTCTTTGCTTCTAGTATTCAAATCTGATTTGCTACTGATCTCCCTTTGTTGGGGGGTGAATATGTAGTTGGAAATCAGTGGCAAGATGATTTAAGCAGAAG